ATTTTAATTGCTAGGCTTGCTACCAATTTATTTTTTACAGCAGTTTCAGACATGTAGAAAAATGGAACAGACACGTTTCTTCTATTATGGACATCACATGTTAGTGTGCTACGTTAGTTATAGTTGTTGAGCCAATATTGATACGTTTTTATTGAACTTAGTCTGTAGTTGACATTAGAGGTCACTCTTTGTTGTATATTCTGTGGGTTTTGACAAATTTATAATAATTTGTCTCCACCATCACAGTATTCCATGGAAAAATGGATCACTGCCCTAAATGCGCTGTCGCCCTGCGCATCCCGGCCTCCCTCCCTCTGGGACCCTGCACTGCTGCTCTCTGTGCTGTCCCCTTTGTTCTGCCCCTGTCAGGGTGCCATGCAGTTGGCCCGTGCACTGGGTAGCCGTTTTACATTTGCTGCTTTCACTTACCAGGATGCCCTTCAGATTCTTCCATGTCTTTTCATGGCTTGATTACTCATTTTTTTTTAATTTCTGAATAATACTCCATTTTTTTAAAACGAGATTTTATTTATTTATTTTTAGAGAAAGGGGAAGGGAAGGAGAAAAGGAGGGAGAGGAACATCAGTGTGTGGTTGCCTCTCACACACTCCCAATTGGGAACCTGGCCCTTAACCCAGACATGTGCCCTGACTGGGGTTCGAACCAGTGACACTTTGGTTTGAAGGCTGGCACTCAATCCACTGAGCCACAGCAGCCAGGGCTCCATTTTATAGATACACCAGTTTGTCCAGAGCATGCAGAAGGTACCATTGTGGATGCCAGGCTCCTGATAATGAGGAGGGAGTTTTATTCTATATGTATAAGGAGTTGCTCGCATTAAGCAGCATTTTATACATGTTAATATTGTTTAAAATCCTGTGATTCAAAATATATGATCTTTAAAAATATTTTAGGTAATAATATCTATGTTGATTCCTAGGGGAAGAATAGAAAAGTAAGTTTTTCGGAAATTCTCATTTCAAGCTTTATATTATATAGCACATACTTTTATTTTAGTTTTGAAGCTTCTAGTGTTTTTGTGATTCAGTCCAAACAGCTGTGCTCAAGATTTACATGTAAAGGGTAGGCTGTCTTCTAATAGGAATGCTCTCTAAGTTTTGAAAGTAGACTTTGGATAGAAAGACAGTGTGGGTTCTAGTGATAAAAAGTACACACTTCCTGCCTTGAACTCTTTTCAAGTGTAGGTCACGTCAAAGAGTAATTTCTGCCTTGTTGCACCATGGTTACGGAGTGCCCTGCTCCCCACTGAATCTTCAGGTCGGAGCTGAGTGGGTTTTTTGGCGGTGGGGGGAGAAGGTAGGGTCATTGTTCATCCAGCCAGGCGATTGATATGCAATTACTTATTTAATAAACTTGGAGCTTTCTAAAAACTCAACAGCGTTCTAAAGCAATGCTTTAGTATGACATGCGGTAAGTTTTAATTGAGATAGACTTTTTTCACATCAAATTATTTTGATGTTTTCTCTCTGAAGGTCAGTTTGAAGCTTTAAAGTTTGGTTTATCTGTTAACTCTCTGGATCTCTCGCTGATGCCACACTCTTCTTTCTCGTTCTCAGGGTGCAGTTAATAAGGTGTCTTCCAGCCACATTGGCTGTTTGGTGCACGGGTGCTTCAATGCCTCCATCCCTAAGCCTGAGCACATGCCGGCTGAGCAGTGGCAGGGCCTGGAGATAAACGTGGGTGATGAACTAGAGTTTGAAGTATTTCGTTTAGACTCAGATGCTGCTGGAGTGTTCTGCATTCGGGGAAAACTAAATATCACTAGGTCGGTTCCTAATCACGTTATCATTTTGATACTTAATTGTTTCTATTCTAAATTTAGAGACCATAAACCCTCTTTTGAAAAAAAAAAGTGTGTGTATGTGTATATATATATATAAAGTTTTATTAGAGTATTTATGCTTTCAAACCAGGAAGTCATTGTAAATAATAATCATAAGCACTATAACAATGCATTAAATATTCTAAAGTCTACATCTAGTTAACTGCTCTGCATTTTAATAACTCAATTTTACTGAATATTTTCTAGTTTGTTGTTAATTTTTTAAATAGTAGATCCCCTGAGCTTGAAACTAGTAAAAGCTTAATCATGTCGTATAAGTTATTAACCTGAAACAAATAATTTGTTTGATTATTGTCATTATGTCAGGTAGATCATTTAATTCCTATATTTTTCCATATTGGAATGCTTAATTCTTCTGATCTTAAATCTCAGGCTTGGGGAGCCAACTTGAATGGGGGCAGGGGAACTATAGAATATTGCTGATGTTGATGTAACCAGTTTTCCAGATTCTGCTCTGGTAAGGAACAAGAGCTTAGGCTCGAGTTCTCCAGCAGCCGTCCAGTAGAACTTGCAGCGATGGCAGAGTCGTGCTGGACTTGTGCAGTCCAGTAGCCCCGCAGTCAAGCATTTGACATGTGGCTGGTGTGGCTGAGGGGCTGTTTTTAAAGTTACCTCGTTAGACAGTCATCTGTGGCTGGTGCTGCTTTATAGGACTACTGTTCTGGAAAGGAGGCTGCTTCACCGACTCTTGTTCCTGTTTTAGTGATGTAATTCACAATTGTGAAGTAATATGCTTCTGCGTAGGCTAAGAAGAACAGTGAACTATTATTTAAAACAAGGATTGAGATAGTAGACAGGACACTCCAATATTTTGATGCATAACAGCAGTATATTTTCTCTCTCACACATGTCAGTGGTTTGACTAATAAGCCTGGGTATTGTCATGTTTAGTGTTCAGTGACCGAATTTTTCTGAGCAAAACCAAAATTTAGAAGGCATGCTTTGACAGTTTTTTAAGTCCTGTTTATGTGTGAAAACAGTCTGGGAGAAGTACTTGGGATACAGGAATTTTAACACTTCATTGGGCTGAGGGTAGTAAGAAAGAACGTTTGAAATTTATGCCATGGTTATGTGTCTCATACTGCTGTCGTTCAGAAAAATCTTAGCAGGCCAGAATATTCTGGATCCCTTTTTGTTGTTTATTACTCAGTAAGTTTTAACCTGTTAACTTACAGTTTACACGCCAAGTGCTCTGCAGTTTCTGAAGAAGTAACAGAAACTGGCCCTGAAGAAGTTTTTGAAAAACCTCTGAAGAAGAAGAAGAAAAAGAAGAAAGACCCAGAGCCAAATGAAGGAGCAGGTGGCACCACAGAGCCAGCAGATTTTGCAGGTGTCCCCGTGATGGAAGAGACAGACCTGCAGGTGAATAGCAGTGTGAATGGTCTGTGGGACGGAGAGCCAAGGAAGAAGAAGAAGAAAAAGAAGAAAGACCCAGAGCCAGATGTAGGAGCAGGTGGCACCACAGAGCCAGCAGATTTTGCATGTGTCCCCGTGACGGAAGAGACAGACCCGCAGGTGAATAGCAGTGTGAATGATCTGTGGGACGGAGAGCCGAAGAAGAAGAAGAAGAAGAAAAAGAAGAAAGACCCAGAACCCGGTGAAGGAGCAGGTGGGACCACAGAGCCAGCAGACTTTGCAGGTGTCCCCGTGACGGAAGAGACAGACCCACAGGTGAATAGCAGTGTGAATGGTCTCTGGGACGGAGAGCCGAGGAAGAAGAAGAAGGAGCAGCACCAGGAAGATCAGGACCAGGACCCTGTTTTTCCAGCCAGTGACTCCAGTGGTTACCAGAGTGACCACAAAAAGAAAAAAAAGAAAAGAAAGCACAGTGAGGAGGCTGAATTTACCCCTCTTTTGGAACACTCTCCTAGAAAGAAAAGGAAACAGTGATTTTCTTTAGTGCGTTGTAAATATGATTCAGTTTCAAAAGGTTGATTTATGCACAGTGGATGAAAACATGTTTGAATGATACGAAATAGTTTTTAGAACAGGAAACTATTGAATAGGAGTTGAGTGTTTGATGCTAAAATTGCAGAACCGATCATTTGGAAAACGCCAGTGTTATTGAAGTGCCATTTTACTGTGTACAGAATGGAAGGTAAGAGTTCATCTCGGAATTGACTCTTGCATTCTTCCAGGTCTTACATTATAAATAAAAGTATTTGTATAATCACAATACTAGCAAAAGGACTTTATTTTGCAATGTTATCATATCATTAAAGAACTAATTTGAGCTTGGGTGTTCAGTTTACTGCCTTTATCATGAAATTACAGGCCATTTTGTTTACTTTTAAAAAAATTCAAGGCATTTACCAGTTTCAGATTTTCCTTTTTTATGGCTGCTGCAGTGTTTCTGTTGTTTAACTGGGAATGGCTTGCCACAGCAGCTTCTGAAGTCTCCAGCGCTCATAGGAACCATGTCACTACTGACTGGCAGGGCGCAATATTACTCTCCTTTCCTTCAGGTGCACGTTTGCTGGTGGTTTCTTTTTTCTCGGAGTCCATGAGGTTGTGGAGAGGGGTGTTCTCTTGTGCCGATTCAGTTGTGCCTCAGCCATTCTGTTCTGGTGTGTTGGGGAAGGAGGATCTGATGAAGGCAGGATAAATCAGATCCTGATTAGTGGGGAGTTTCCCAAATACTTTTAATAGTTGGGTTAGGCTGCTGGAAATTCTTCAGAAGAGAAAACAGCTGTTCACTGCTTCCACTGAGAAAACGTCACACGTGCCTTCACTACTGGAGGACTGAACAATGAAGGGGTTAGCCAGTTCAGGCCGATGAGCCACGCGTGGCAGTGCTCACCCCTGTGGCAGGTGCTTGGCTGTCTCTGTGCAGCACACTCCACTCAGGTCCAGGGCTGCAGAGGCACACACCGGAGATACGGTTCCTTCCCTCGTGGCATGTCACAGAGAAACAGATGCACGTACACACAGTAAAGGTAAGAGCGTACAGAAAATTAGCAATTGTGCTAAGTGCTACGAAGAAAAAGAAGATTGTTCACTCACTGTTAGTTGTGTTAGTATCTTGAATGAATGCATGGTTGAATTGAACTACAAATAGCAGCCAGTGTTGTTGCCATGTATATAGTATCAGAAACAGTACTGGTCTCACATTGTTTAATTTCTGCTAATGTATAAATTCTGCTAATAGTATATCTTGATCTAAATTTATAATGGTAGTGCGCGCTGTTGGTGCTGGTGCTGCTGCTTCCACTGCCGGTGCCATTGTCACCGCCGCTGTCAGCCAGGCTGCCCTTGGTTCTTCAGCCCTCAGTTTCCTCGGGTCCGTCAATGCTTCTAGACCTTGCTGTGGGCTCGGATCTTGCTGGAAAAATGATGAATTTTCATTGGCAGATGCGCTACCTGACCGCTCCCCTGCCAGACCCTCTGCTGTGAACAATACTAAACCTGGTCAACCTCCTCAAGGCTGGCCAGGTTCCAACCGTTGGCATAACCCAGGTGCTCCACCTTCTGTGCCATCTGGACTCTTACCAAGTGCAACACCCTCCACAGTGCCTTTTGGACCAGCACCAACAGGAATGTGTCCCACTGTGCCTCCCACTGGACCACCTCCAGGACCCCCAGCACCCTTTCCTCCTCCTGGACCATCATGCCTCCCACCTCGTGGTCCTTATCCAGCCCCAGCTGTGCCAGGTCCTGGCCCCACAGGGCCATGTCCTACACCAAATATGCCCTTTCCAGAGCTTTCGAGACCATATGGTGCACCCACTGATCCAGCTGCAGCTGGTCTGTTAGGGCCATGGGGATCCATGTCTTCTGGACCTTGGGCACCAGGAATGGGGGACAGTATCCTACCCCTAATTTGCCACATCCATCTCCAGGGCCATATCCTGCACCTCCTCCTCCCCAAGCACCAGCAGCAGCACCACCTGTTCCGTGGGGCACTGTTCCACCAGGAGCCTGGGGACCACCAGCACCATATCCTGCGCCTGCAGGATCCTATCCCACACCAGGCCTCTATCCCGCTCCCAGTGATCCTTTCCAAGTGCCTTCGGGACCTTCTGGTGCTCCACCAGTGCCTGGTGGTCCCCATTCTTACCTTGAAGTTAATGGATGAAGAGATGGCGCTTTGCTTTTTGAAGTACGTATATATGCACATGGATGCATATATAAAAATTGCTGGTTTCACTGTTACAGGGCGTTCATGAACAATACTTGCATCTCAGAAGGTAATCTGCCTCTTGTGCTTGGATTATAATATATTGGATACAATCAGATAAAAATGTAAAAGTAAATCATTAAAATGTGATTTTTATTCAGTTTTTATGGAAAGTTAAACTAAGTGTATTGAATATCTCTGATACAATTTAGAATAAATTTTAGATTTGTTTATATTGTGTAACTACACACTTAAAAATCTAAGATGTGGATTATTGGTAGAATCTGCAACTTCATTGGTAAATTATTTCAAGCATTTTTCTATAATCACTTTTTCCCTAAATACACTTGAAAATAAACAGATAAAAATAAATTTGTAATGGTAGAATACAGTCTTTGCCTACAAGTAGATACACAGTGCAAAGGTACAGGCCAGTGTCTTTCCATACAATTTAGTTTCAGGTGTGTATTGGGCCCTTGTAATGTGGGTACTCCAAATTGAGATGTGGTGCCAGTATAAAATACACACCAAGTTTTGAAGATGTACAAAGAAAATATAAATATCTCAGTTTTGTATATTGGTGAAATTATACTAGTTTTGGTATAGTGGGTTAAATAAAATGTTAAAATTGGTTTGTTTTTTTCAGTTTTTTTAACTTTCTTTTTGCTAAAAGATTTAAAATTGCACATGAGGCTCACATTAGCTTCTGGACAGCACTGGTTTAAAGAGAGGATGAGTCGGAAGCAGTTGAAAACAAGCTGTATCCTCAGGGTTTGTTATTGTGGCATACCCAGAAAATGTTCATAGTTGCTTCCTTACATTTTAAAAATTTGAATACATCATTGTAATCGTGTCTGGCAACATAGAAAATTAATTTTTAGTGAAGCAATTTCCCTTTCATAAGTACAAAGGAAACTTCACATTTATGCTATTCATAGAAAAATACATTGTGGCTTATCAATGGGAGCAAATTCCCATGTGGTATATCTTTTCAGTTGGTGCTTAAGTCATTCATGTTGTGTACAATTTAAAATAATTTGCTTTTTTGAAGAAAAAACACAAAGCTTGAAACTGTATTTATTCATGCTTTTCCACGATGATTAGCTTTAAAAAGCAGATCTGGCATTTGCTTTGCCTAGAATACAGTGACTGTTGGTTTTATCTGACATAAAACCTCTGGTGATAGCCTCCAGGTGTTTTTCAAAACATTCGTCACATGCTGTGCTAACCTGAGTTTTATCATTTTATCTCAGTATTCACTCATAAAATTCCTCTGACCTAGACCAGACTGCTTACCTTTGCTATAATTCCCATCAGTCACCAACTTTAAAGGCACCTCATTAATCATTTGGAATAAATAGATGATTTAAATGGTTTCAGCTCTCAAAGCACTTAGAGTTTTTTCCACGAGATACAAAACAAAGTGTTAAGTCAAGGATCAGTTTGAAAGGCATGAACCATGTAGAAACAGTCAAAAACTGCCACTTTTGCAGGTGGAAGCAAAGGGTAATGTTAGAGCGTTTTCACCCATGAAGCTGGATGAGCAGCATTTTCACCCATGGAGAAGGGAAGGAGGTGGAGGAGAGCCCAGCAGGCGCATGAGAAAAACCCAGTACAGAAAACTGTCTGAGACAGTAGCTTCTACATAAGGTGTTTCCAGACTGAAGTGGGCTAAATATGCTTGCTTTGTAATCATAATTGTTTTTATGGTTTTTTAAAACTTGTAGCACTCTGTTGTTTGAAACTGTTTACCTGTTTTACATACTGATCACGTACTGATCAAGAGAACTATGTCTTGACCAATAAATTTTTTGAGAGCTGGGATTGCACCTTAACTGCCCCTACACTGCTGGGAAGCGAAAGCATCAGCAGCTACTTTTAACTGATGAAATGAAAAAGCACAGCTTCAGGATTTCTGGCCAAGTTGGAGGCATAGGTAGACACACTGTGCCTCCTCGCACAACCAAGATAGAGACAACAACAATTTAGAAACAGAATAACAACAAAAACTGACAGAAAATTGAAGTGTATGCAAGTTGGAAAATGAAGGAGTTAAAATAGACACGTTCATTCAGACCAGTAGCGGGGGCGGAGTTGGGCAGCCTGGCGGAGAGGGGTCGAGGCACAAAGAGTGGTGGGACCGGGCGTGTAAGGCATCTCAGGCGCACAAGACCGCATCAGCGGACCCTGGGCATGCAGGTGGTAGCTGGCAGACCCCAGGCGCAGGGTGGCAATGGGCAGACCCAGCAAGGTGGCAACTGTAAAGTGAGGCACTGCGCGCAACCCAGGGTCCCAGCAACTGGAAACAGAACCTTGGAGCACACTGATTGAAAACACCTGTCGGGGTTGATACACAGGGAGAGACTCCCATTCTCACAGTTTTTGTTGGAGAGACCCACAGGGTCCTAGAATGTGCACAATTCCACCCACATGGGAATCAACACCAGAAGGGCCCAGTTTACTTGGGGGAAGCAGTGGAAAGGACTGAAGTCGGACGGAGAACGGAGCAACCTCCACTGTTCCCTCTTGAACCCCACCCCCACATACAGCATCACAACCCAGCACCTGGGTTGCCCCACCCTGGTGAACACCTAAGGCTCCACCCCTCATACATAACAGATGCGACAAGCCAAAAAAAAAAAGGCCCAAACAGAAGAACAGATCAAAGCTCCACAGCAAATATAACTAAGTGACTAAGAGATAGCCAGCCTATCAGATGCACAGTACAAAGCACTGGTGATCAGGATGTTCACAGAATTGGTTGAATTTTATCACAAACTAGATGAAAAAATGAAGGCTGTGCTAAGTGAAATGAAGGAAAATGCACGGGGAACCACTAGTGATGGGAAGAAAACTGGGACTTGCATCAATGGAGTGGACCAGAAGGAAGAAAGAAACAACCAAACAGAAAAGAATGGAGAAATAAGAATTCAAAAAAATGAGGAGAGGCTTAGGAACCTCCAGGACATCTTTAAACATACCAACATCCAAATTATAGGGGTACCAGAAGGGGGAGAGGAAGAGCAACAAGTGGAAAACTTATTTGAACAAATAATAAAGGAGAACTTCCCCAATCTGGCAAAGGAAATAGACTTCCAGGAAGTCCAGGAAGCTCAGAGAGTCCCAAAGAAGTTGGACCCAAGGAGGAACACACCAAGGCACATCATAATTACATTATCCAAGATTAAAGATGAGAGAATCCTAGAAGCAGCAAGAGATAAGGAGACAGTAACCTACAAAGGAGTTTCCATCAGACTGTCAGCTGATTTCTCAAAAGAGACCTTGCAGGCAAGAAGGGTCTGGAAAGAAGTATTCCAAGTCATGAAAGGCAAGGACCTACATCTAAGATTGCTCTGTCCAGCAAAGTTTTCATTTAGAATGGAAGGGCAGATAAAGTGCTTCTCAGATAAGGTCAAGTGAAAGGAGTTCATCATCACCAAGCACTTATTATATGAAATGTTAAAGGGACTTATCTAAGAAAAGGAAGATAAAAAACATGTATAGTAAAATGACAGCAAACTCACAATTATGAACAACCACACCTAAAACAAAAACAAACTAAGCAATCAACTAGAACAGGAACAGAACCACAGAAATGGAGATCACATGGAGGGTTAGCAACAGGGGAGTGGGAGGAGGAGAGGGGGGAAAGGTACAGAGAATAAGCAGCATAGATGGTAGGTAGAAAATAGACAGGGGGAGGGCAAGAATAGTATGGGAAATGTAGAAGCTAAAGAACTTATGACACATGGACATGAACTAAAGGTTGGGAATGTGGTTGGGAGAGGGTGTGCAGGGTGGAGGGGAATGAAGGGGGATACTGGGACAACAGTAATAGCATAATCAATAAAACATTTTTAAAAAAGCATTATATGAAAGATGTAAAATGTAAAAAAAAAGCACAGTTTCAAATGGTATCACTTTGCCTCTGATGTGATACTAACCTTTTCACATGTTGCTTCAATGAATATCTTAATGTGTTAAGTGCTTTGCCTACAGATGATGCCAGTTTCAAGTACGGTATTTTTCAGACTATAAGACACACTTTCCCCCAAATTTGGAAGGGAAAGGGGGTGCATCTTATAGTCCGAATGTAGCTTATCTGGCTCACTGTGGGGGAGGGGCAGCGGTGGAGCAGGGTCACAGGTTATTAAATATTTTACCACATTTTTTGCTTCAAAAATATTTTCCCTATTTTCCTCTAAAACCTAGGTGCATCTTATAGTCCTAAAAATATGGTATTTGTATTCCAACAGTGTGTCAGTGATAACTTAGAACTAACTTCCAAATGGTCGAATTGAGTCTCACTTGCTTTATACAACACAGTCACCACAAGGATCATCTTTGGATATTTTTCTTCCACAAATAAGAAGTACTGTGTTGTAAAATTAATGTATATTCATTTTTTAAAGTTTGAAGTGCAAAAGTGTGTCCCCACCCTCCTGCCATGTACACACCCATGTAACATTCTGCATCCTAGAAATAAGTACTATTGTCAGTTTCATGTGTAGTTTTAGAGTTTAGTTTTCAAATTGACTTTAAAATATTTTAAAATATAAATGCAGTCACACAACTCAGACTTTGGCCATACTTTCATCTGATACAGATTACTTTCCATATGAATATATAAAGATACTCTGATTTCTAATGCTGGCAGAATTTCAGTGTGTAATTTGTTTCATTTGTTAATGAATATTTGAGTTCATATTTTCTTAATTGGGTTCATATTTTCTCTCTTATTAAACACACACATTGAACATACACATATAGGCATCCTTATTTGATAAAAGTCCCAGAAGTAGAACTGTGTTGAAGGGGAATAATTTTACTTTTTGAGAAAATTCCTCAGAAAACTAAAATGAACTGCCCTTTGACCCAGCAATTTCACTGCTGGGATTATATCCTAAGAACCCTGAAACACCAATTCAAAAGAACCTATGCACCCCAATGTTCATAGCAGCACAATTTACAATAGGCAAGTGCTGGAAGCAACCTAAGTGCCCATCAGTAAATGAGTGGATCAAAACACTATGGTACATTTACACAATGAAATATTATGCAGCAGAAGGAAAGGATGAACTCCTCTGTGACAGCATGGATGGAACTGGAGAGAATTATGCTAAGTGAAATAAGCCAGGTGGTGAGGGACAAATACCATATGAGCTCACCCTTAAGTGGAACTTAATCAACAAAACAAACAAGCAAAATATAACCAGAGACATTGAAATTAAGAACAATCTGACAGTAACCAGAGGGGAGGTGGGAGGGGATAATGGAGGATAATGGGAAGGTTTTCAGGAATAGCTATAAAGGACACATGGACAAAACCAAGGGTGGGGGTGGAAGCAGGGGAGGGAGGCGGAATAGCTGGTGTGGGGCAGGGAGGTGAGGGGTAAATGCAAACAAATGTACTTGAACAACAATAAAATAATTTTTTAAAATTAAAAAAATTAGTTTCTGATATGGGTGGTTTTGTATTTCAGGACATTTGTACCAGTTTACAATCCTATCAGCAACGTATGGTTGGCAATGTTGCTAACGTGGAAATTATGGGTCATTTTAATTTTTGACTATGTGATAGGGGAAAATATGATGTTGTATAATTTATATTGATTTAGGTTTTAGTGAGCTCGAACCACTTGTGTATTGTGTATACATTTGTTTTTTTCAGAATTTCTCTTCATGTCCTGTGGTGTTTTTTCCATGTATTTCTCTGTTTAAGAGCCCTCTATGTATTTGGGACGATGAATTTT